GTTAAGAACCACCAGCCTGAAATTTGGGCAATTAAGCACCACTTCAGGCTGACAAATGAAACTGGTTCTTAAAAAAACTTATTAAACTTTTAGCTGAATTAGTAAGCAGGTACTAGGAAGAAAACAAAATACTGTAACCTTGCTAGCAGGAATTATATCTTTCAGCCACATCATGCATGCATTCATTTTATCAACATAATTAAATTACAGTTCGTTTACTAGTTTCATTATATACAGTAAGAGGTTTAAAACTCTAAACCAGGACTGGAAATAAGAACCACTTAAGAATCACTTCAGCCTGATTCCCTTCTAAGTACCCGTTAAATAAGCACCACTTCAGCCTGAAGTCAAAATTCACTGGTTCTTTTATGCGGGGTTTTACTGTAGCGTTAATTACTGTAGTTAAAGGAGCAGTGTCACCTGGTGCGCATCTTTTCTGCGCATAACAACAAAATTTCGGAAATTGTCGGAAATTGTTCGGTGCCTAAAATAATATTGAAGAATGGCGTCCTCTTGCTATGGCAAGCTCTGCGGTACGAAACTATGCATATTTTTGCACATCATTTGTGTGAAGTCGATAATATAAATGTAAAATGCATATCATATTTCTTAAATTAGCGCAGGTTCAACATTAAAAGTGCAAGAGTTCTTGTAGCGTCAAGCGTAAACAAAATACCAATCGAGGATGCCCTTGCAAAGGTTCAAATATCAACTGCTCTGCAGCATGCAAATGCGGCACTCGTGATAAACCTTGCAAGTTAGAATAAGGTAAGCTTGAAAATCATTCACTTTTCACTTTTCTCAGTACTACATATATATATATATATATATATATATATATATATATAACTACAGACGGTACCGTTTCGGCCTAATGGGCCTCATCAGTGTAGTGCTGATGAGCAGGATGAAAGTAACTCTTATTTATAGTTACCTTTGATGCCTCACGATTGTGGGACATCAAAACCATGCCAGAGCGCTCAAACTGCAAATATATATATATATATATATATATATATATATATATATATATATATATATATATATATATATATATATATATATATATATATATATATATATATATATATATACGAGTAGGTTTGTGTATACGAAACGCAAAGAGTGCTCAATATCATAAAGATAGAGCAAATGTAGAATTTCGCTTACCTCAAATATATATATATATATATATATATATATATATATATATATATATATATATATATATATATATATATATATATATATATATATATATATATTTATGAAAATGTTACCTACATCCCCTACACTCGATATAAATTCCAAAGGTTACCAACAAGCCCTACACTCGATATAAATTCCAATTTACAAGACCTTTCAACAATTATTCACATAAACATCAACATTACATATTTACATAAACTTCAACTTTGATTTTCTCGGCGTAGACAATGTTTATTTTTAAATTATTTCGCCAATGAACTCATAAGATGGGTCATTTTTTAAGTGCGATAAAGCATTCGCGTCCGATCTGTAACTGATATACAAACTCTCGCCTTCGGCTCGAGTTTGCATATCAGATACAGATCGGCTGCTCATGTTTTATCTATAGTACTTTTAAAATACTTTCTGTTCCGAATTTAGGCATCTACTTTATATCGATGTACGGCGTCAGAATATGCCCTTGTGGCTGATAGCCTGTAAGCATATACTGTAGGCTATATTTGTCTAAACCAGCCATTGATTACGGTATACCTTTCCGGTGTGGCGGTCTGAGATTGTATCATGCTCAGATTGATCTTAATTGATCTGCACATGCGCAGTAAGCCAATGCGCCCGCGATGAATATTGACCGTGCTCAGATTGTGCTCAGTTGCAAACACGTTATCTTCGATCGAACTGTGTCAAAATCTCTCCGAAATCTTCGCTTTTTTATATTCCTTTTGGATATTTCTCTTCTGTGGCTGCATCGTTGGATCGTGCTGCTGTTGTTGTTGTTATTATAAAGGTGAGTATTTTTTAATGTTTTATTATACTAAATGTTACACGCTATTACAGTGATCATATTAAAACATCAACAGGTCGAGTCGATAAAAATCACTGTATGTTTCCTATTAAACGCCAACATCCTTATTTCATATCTTAAATAAAATATAATTCCCATATTTGTCAGTGAGAATAAAGATGCCTGCTCTCATCAGTGAACAAAACACCGATTGTGCTTCAGAAACAAGTAATTCAGAGCTGGTGGTCGAGCAAGAAGAGGCTACTGTCAAAAAGGCAACAGTCCCACGAGATGTTCGACTCGGCCAATATAAAAGTCAGTGCGAGGACCTGATATATTACTTACAAACGAACAAATGCAGACCAGGACTCTCAAAAAAGGAAATCAGAAACATAAAGAACAAGGCAGTAACACACAAGTTTAATTCAACCAGTAAGTGTCTATATAATATATAATTAAAAACCTTATAGTTGTAGCAGCTTGTGGGCTACTTTATACTGTATCTGCAAGACTATAACTGACCAGTTTTATATGCAATTTATTTACCGAGCCATGCTTTGAGGGACAGGGAGAACATGCTTTGCAACCGACTGGTGCAAGATTGTTTATTAGAGAGTGACAGAGATAGTTTTTGAATTTCCTACATTTCTACTGCTATATATGTTGTGAAATGAGAAAATCACAAATTCTACAATTATTCTTTTTTCTTTTAATATTAGATAATGAATTGATATATGTTGGACAGAAAAAGGACCTGAAGAAGAGAGTTGTCACCGAGTTGGAAGAAATCAAAGACATCCTAAACCAGTATCACTCAAATCCTATGGGTGGGCATAGTGGTATCAATAACACACTGGCTAAAATTTCACAGTATTACACATGGCATGGTATGAAAGCAGATGTCACAGAATACGTAAGTCACAAGAACATATGTATATGGTATTTATTACAGGCCTAGAAAATATATTTCTCTACATGGCAGCAAAATCCAAAAATAAACATTTCAGGTGTAAGTCAAATATATAAATCTTCCTGCATATATGGATTCCAAAGCCGTACAATGCCACACATTGTGATAAACCCTGCCTTATCTTGCAACATGCTTTTGCAAACAATGAGTAAACCTCTGGTAGTATTAGACAAATTGCCATTGCATTGATTAAATTAATCCTGTATACAACATTTCCCACTTATCGTGTGATATAAGACAGACAATTATGAGTAACTAAAAAGTTGTGGGTGACAGAATGAGTTAATAGAGATATTTATCTTCTAAACAGTGCCAGACTTGTGATCGTTGTCAAAGATTTGAGAAGATAAAAACTCAGGCACCAGAATTGAAATCAATCAAGGTCAATGAACCTATGGAATTGGTTGGAATGGATCTCATTGGTAATATAGATATATGAGTGTACAACATACATATCTGGTACATGGTGACATCAATGCATATAGACATGTGCAAAGTGTTGTGGAGCCACATTGCTCAAACAACCACAAGGAAAGTGAGCTTAACTGCATTATTGTTAAGCAGCACCCAATGCCACTCATACAGGGATGGAAAAAATAGCCTCGCAGGAAATTCTAAACAGCTAACACATATCTTTTGTTTGTTTATTGTTCTTCTAGATTATTTCAAATATTTTTAATTACTTTTCTCTAACATTTCGGATTCTTCTAAGACACCATTTTCATCTTGCGTCAGCTGCATGATCATGTGATTGAAAACATTACTTAGATGTTTGAAATTTGGATAAGAAAAATCCTTACTAACAGTATCCTGTTTATTGTTCCGTGTTTAGGACCTCTTCCAACAACTTTGGAAGGATTCAAATACGTCCTCACTTTTACAGACAACTTCACAAAATTTGTGGATTTTTTCCCATTGAAAGAGAAAGCTGCTGCTGGATTTGCAAGGTGTATTCAAACCTTTGTTTGCAGGTCAGGAAAATTCCATTAATTGCATGTAACTATAAATAAACTAAACTTATACTGTATTACAAAAACTAAAAATATGTTGTGAACATATGCAGTATATTTAGTCACCACTTCAGTAAATATGTGAATTTTTTTATAGGTGGGGTGCCCCTTGTAGATTATTATCTGACCAAGGCCGCGAGTTTGTTGCAAACGTAAGTCTACATTTTAACTGTTGCAAATTGTCAAGTACTACTCATATATAGATGATTTCATTGTTTTCACCAAGGGTGGATTTTCATATTTTTCTCTGGGGGATGAACATAATATTTCTATCTTACTTAACAGTAGTTTAATTTAGTGCATTTAAATTTTGACAGGGGGATGCACATTTTTGTTGGGGGCGCACACAAAATCCGTTCTTGGTTTTCACATTGTTTGTTATTCTTATAAATGCAAATTTTCCCCCCCAAATCGTAATGCATGTATAGTGCTGTATATAATTAGTTTGCAATGTGATACTTGAGCATGCTTCCCCCTTTTCATTAATTCTAGGTTAATAACGTGGTATGTGAAGAGTTAAACATCAAACGGTCTGTGACAAGTGCCTACCACCCGCAAACGAATGGGTTGGATGAGCGTACCAATCAGACCCTGAAGGTTCGCCTTTCCAAACTGGTAAATGAACATCAGAACAACTGGGATCAATTTGTGGAGGAAGTTGCATTCTCAATTAGAACACAAAAGCAAGGATCTACCAAATATAGTCCATTCTTTCTAATGTTTGGTCGTCATCCTAGAACTCAATGGAGGTAGTTATATATTAAACTAATAATTTGATTGGCTAAGAGCAGTGCAATTTTTTTTAAATAAAGTAAAAAAAAAAAGAAATAAAGTACCAAAAAAAGAAATGAAGTGCAAACTTTTTTCTCATTTATGTTTACATGTTAAAACATTTTGAAATATTTTCTTTTTAATACATTTTGACAGTTGTTGTTTGTTCTGTTTACATGTTGTTGTTCAAATTATAGATATATTATTTTGCATTTAACTCGCCTGCATACATGTATGTGATTAATAAATTTTTGTGTATATTATTAATAAGTAATAGTATACCTTCTCGTGCAACTTGGAAAAACAGGCACTTATGAGTTTTTCACTTTTGAAGTGTTTGCAATTTTGAAGTCACTCGTGCATGCTTTTTTTCCAGATTGCACTTGAAACCATACAATTACCTATACATTCAAATAAGTAAAACATATCTCATTGTAAAACATGAACAAGACAAAGCTGTGTATAGCAGTAATACTCACATTCTGATTTTGCAGATGGAAAACACAGAAGAGGACCATGCCATTCTAGAGGAACAACTCAATGATGATGACTTAGAACAGATGGTTATGGCAAGAGTTTCTAAGATGGCTAATATCAACGAAAAGGTTAATATTGAACAGTTTGTATGTTGCACCTACTGTAACTTCCAGATGTACTCATCACATTGGGTTAACAGAACTATCCAGGGTGCGATAATTCAATATTTTTTAGGCGTACCTGACTGGTACTCCAACAATTTTTGGAGTCGAGGTGTACCTAAGATTATGCCTAACATAACAGGTATATATGCTAACACCTTAACCTTATCAAACCATTTATGGACATAAGTGTTAACAAGCATGAGAGTTTGAGATTTTTATCAATCATTTCTAATATTATAATATTTCTGGTATGTTATTAAAGTTCAAGAAAACGTTGACAAAGCGCAAAAGAAGCAACAGAAGGAATTTGGAGAAAGAAAGAGCAAGGGAGTAAAGGTCTTTGAACATCATGTTGGAGACCTTGTACTTAGAAAAGTAATGAAGAATGTCAGTCGAAAGGGAGGCAAGATGGAAGCACTATGGACTGGTCCTTACAGGTAATTATGGTTATAAACCAGACAGATCTGTCCATGCCTCTTGTTAGTACAGTTAGTAGCTTATTTAGTGGCAATGCATACAGTACTAAGCACACCTAAGTAGAGATGAGTTTTGCCTATTAATCGGCCTGTTTGCCAATAAAATGTATGACCTTCTTTGCTATTTTTTAGGGTTGCTGAAATTGATAACCACCAACGTGCAACACTGCAGAACATTGAAAGTGGTCAACCTCTAAATGTTAAAGTCCCATATTGTCAACTTCGGCCCCACAAAACCAGTGATTTGCATGAAGAGTTATGTGAAAGCGAGGAACTATCCAGGGTGGCTGAATGTTCAAACAGCACAACATATGACTGTGAAAATGATCAAGCCCCATCTGATGATGTATCACATTCCATGAAAGTTGAAAGTCCTTCCCAATCACCGCCATCAACAGCCACTAGTGTGAAAGAATGTGAAGATGACATTGTTATTCTGTCTTCCACTGGCCCAAAGCAACGTAAAACTGGGCTTCTGCCTGTTAAACCAGCCTATTTAGAAAAGAACATTGCATCGCTCACAAAAACAATCAGAAAGGATGGAAAGTGGTTGAGTGATGAACATATCAATCATGCTCAAGCGTTATTAGCAAACCAGTGTGCACACATAGATGGATTTCAAGCAGTGTCAGTCTTTTGTCCTGAAGGATGCCAAAATGTTGGAACACCAAAGAAAGAGTTTATTCAAATTATGAATGTCACAGGCGACCACTGGACAACAGTTAGTAATGTTGCCTGTGGAAATGATGAGGCTATGGTTTACGACTCGCTCTATGAAGATTTCAGCCTCTCAGTTAAACTGAAATTTCTAAAAAGATGGCATACATGGTCCAGCCTACATCACAAAATATTACTCTTTGGTGGGGTGATATTCAAAAGCAAAAAGGGAGTGATGATTGTGGTCTTTTTGCAATTGCTGTTGCAACATGCCTTGCATTTGGAATCCTACCGGAGGAATGTTTGTGGGAACAAGATGTCATGCGTAGTCACCTGTGCAAATGCTTTGAGCAAGGCTTCATGTCACCATTCCCTGTTTCATCAACCAAGCGAGCTCACATTGGTTATCGTCGCATGGAAGATGTTGAAGTGTACTGCCATTGCAAACAGCCTTACACAAAAAAGGTTTTCATGATTGAATGCGATGGTTGTTTCAACTGGTTCCACCGTAAGTGTGAGAAGACCCCAAAAGTTGTTAAGAAAAATATTCCCTTCTTTTGTCGTAATTGTAAATAAATTGCTCCGAACTGTAAATAAAACGCTAATGTAAATAGTTGCTCCCTGTACATATGTTGCTGGGATTGTAAATAGCTGCCCATTGTAAATAGAAGAATTTGTATTGTAGCCAGTTGGGTATTAATATATATATTTATGCATCTATGTGTACTTATTCGAAAACTTCTTACTGTCGATGCAATGGAAGTGTTGATAAAATATTGCATGAATTCATTTGCTCAAGTTGATCAATCCATACGAATTCAAATTTCTTTTTACTTCCTGTGCGTTTCGTATTGGTCAATCGGTTCTGAAACAAAATCTAATTGGCTCATCTAAAAGCAACAGGAAGTTGATCAATTTTCTATCAAATGAATTGATCCACTTGAGGAAAGGAATTGGTGCAATATTTTGTCAACACTTCCATTGCATCGACAGTAAACTTTAACTCATCAAAGGGACGCCCAGATGCCCCCTACATTATTATTTACACTGTCTAATGCCAGACGATTTTACTCGTCACGGGGAAAGTGCTGCCACTCATTGGGTTCTGCCCATGCATCCTGTTAACCCCTAATGCCAGCCAGTTTTACTTGTCAGGGAGAGAGTGGGTGACATTGGCAGTTAGTTTTGTTAACCCATTAACTTGGGAGTATACCCCACCACTATGGCACTAACAAGCAGAATCGTCAGATATCAGACAGTAAAATACTACAACAAAGCAGATTGTTAGCTAATGGGTAATCGTTCCTGCTTTGATATTTTTATACTATTTAACACTTGTAAGACAAATCAGTGGGTGTGTCTTTCGTAAACATTAGGAAAATTACACTTTTCAAATCGGTTTTCTTTTAACTTTAAATAAAAATGAGTTTTTTAAAGGACTAAAAGTGCCCTTTTTTGTGATAAAAAGTGCCCTTTTTGTGTTGAAAAGTGCCCTTTTTTGTGAGGAAAAGTGCCCCTTTTGTAGAAGCTAATGTCGCTGTAAATACTAAATTAAAACAATAAGTGCCGTTTTTGTGTGGAAATTTACAAATTTTTTTTAAAAATTAGGTCACAAACATAAATTTCGGTATGATACGACGGAAAATTTTCCTCAGGAGAAATTTCTCCCCCCCCCCCCCCCCGTCGACAACATTTCCGGGAAAAAATTTTTAGGTGCCCTTTCCGATAGTAATGTGCCCCTACAAGCCGGTGCCCCCCCAAACTCCAGGTGCTTCCTACGCCCCTGTTGCAGCTTAATGGAACAATGGGGTTAATCAATAGCTAAAAGGTATTGCTACACCTCATAGTTACTGCCTGAAATAAATATTTTGGAATCTATTTAGAAACTACAAATTTTCAGTTTCATTGTGAAGTTTGATCAACACAATTTTTTATTTCAATTAACTGAATGCAATTATGCAAACTCTGAAACAATATACACATTCGGGAGCTCAAGTTCATGTGCAGTCTTGACTCAAACTAAAAGTGCGAGGCGTCTATATACACAACTAAACAAGTATAACAAAATTAATAAGACTTTGACTGTTTATACTCTGTTTATATTAAATTATAATTTTCATTACACATTGCAGTTAAAGTATCATAATATTTATAGTATGCTACGTACATTCATGATTCATCTACGTCCGACTCGTCCTGATTTCCAAATGTTCAAATTTCGGTAAAAACACAGAAAACTATCTCTTTATTCATGTCATTTAGTTTCTACCTTTAAACATGTTTGTTGTTTAGGATGGATTCAAATAAATCTCGAGTTTTTCACTTGTTGTGCATGTATGTAGTATTTTAAAGTCTAATACTCCATGTATTATTGATATAACAATCTCAGCACGATGGCAATATCAGACCGCTGTAACGCGTTCTGGGATTGCAGGCCCGGTTTGGAGCATGCGCAGTAATTAAAGTACAATCTCACCATGACAACAATCTCAGACCGCCACACCGGCAATTGACTTGTTTTATAACCACAATTTGTAGACGGTGGCCAACTCAAAAGCTTATGGTACTTTGGTCACCGTACACAATTTGAATGTCTTAATTTAAAACTTTTTTATGTATTTACACCGAATTTGTATTATGAATATCTCGTCTATAAATGTAATGTATATGTCAAACTGATATAGTGTGAAATAAATTGAAATTGAACTTGACATATATTTCACATGCATACACGGTAAAATAATACAATATATATGCCGTGGGCTGTTGTGCAAAAAAGTGCCTAGAAAAGCAATTTCGTGGCACCCATCTGGGAAATAGATTTTCTGTGGTTCAATTCATAGAACCATAGATGCTTAATTACCACAAAAAGTTCCCAAGCAAAAAACCTGCTCAACACCGAGCAAATGGGTGATCAGTGATTATCCTCTATTAAATTGTATTACAGCAAGAAAATGTAAAATTTTGTATTCAATTACAACAAAAATGACTTGCATTATCAGAAAGCTTACAAAAACCTACATATAAGACATTTAAACAGTTTTTTTATATCTATAATTGTTTTCGAGTTATACGCTGTCAAAACGCGTTTTTGACCTAGTACCCAGTCCTTATTGCGACATTTTGGGCCAATTTTCACATTTAAAACAGCAATAACTCAAAGACTATTCGAAAAATCAAAAAACTGTTTAAAAGTCTTGTATGCGGTTTTTTGTACGTTTTCCGATGATGCAAGTCATTTTTATTGTAATTGAATACAGAATTTCCCATATTTTTGCTGTAATACAATTTAATAGAGGATAATCATTGATCACCCATTTTCTCGAGATTGGGCAACTTTTTTGCTTGGGAACTTTTTTTGGTAGCGATGTACCTATATATATTTCAAATAAACCCCAAACCAAGTATTTCTCGCATGGGGGTCACGAACCGAAATAATTTTGGCCAACAGCCCACGGCCTAATACACATATGCACATAAAATAATAGAGAATATATTTTTCACTTACTGTTGAAGAGCTTCCTTCCAGAAAATTTGCTCCCATCCGCAAAGTGCTCTCCACATTGTATGCACGACAGGCACAACTTCATTTCATTATTTAGAACTCCACCATTACTAGTCAGAAAATTTAAAATCCAATATCTATATCAATACGTAAATCAGCATATATTACAGTATAAAACTTTATAATGTGCCTTTGAGACCACGAGCCACGAGGTTGCGTTGTGACTTGATCTCTCTTCCTCCCCCCGTCGTATAAAACCAACAAATATTCCAAGGAGAATTCGAAGCTGCATGCTTCTACGGAGAAGATGTGCCTCGTTCAGGCCACCGTTTCGTGTTTCACATAAATGCACTGAGCTATAATATATCTGGAGGGAGTGCTCCTATCTCTCTTTCAGTCAAGCAAGTGAAGCCAAAAACATGGCGGATTTTCACATTTGCTGACGCCAAAATGACGCCACTGGTCCTAAATCCTCGTGGTAATTACCACTGAGCAAGGCTCATTTTGAGCCCGCTACCACTTTCACATCCCCCTGATTTTCGAAAAAATATTTTAGGTTTTTGTTTTGGAGTTTGCCTCGGTGTTTGCCTTCTCTTCGACATTTTAACATTTGTTTCGAGTTGCACAAGTGGCAAGAATCATCCTGGCTAGTGAAAGACAGGGAACGAATATTCAAACCTCAAGAATTTATGGAGACCCGACTGCATTCCACCTTTTCTCGCCGCCAAAGATTCACACCAGAAATTCAGCTTTAAAATTCGATCCGCCAAAGACTATCTAAAGTCAAGTTACATGCGCCAAAGGTGCAGAAATCTCTATGGAAATTGGAGCCCGATGACATCATTTTGACGCATCAATTACGTCAAACATACTTGTTGGTCCTGGAGTCTTGCTCTCATTAGTAAATTACGCAAGGTGATTGGCTCACGATTCATGAGAGCAAGGCTCCCAGACCAAATGACGTAATTATCGCTAATCTGAGCCAACGCAGTGGCAGCAGTGCTGGGCCAAATGACGTAATTATCGCTAGCTCCCAGACAGAAGCGCTGAAATTGACGTATTGATAAAACACACAACCTGGTAAATCGAAAAACGTCAAAAGCTGCAGAACTGTGGCAATCAAAACATATATAGTTTAATTTTCGAATAAACTACAGTATAGTTTCAAACAAGTATTACACAAGAGCATTTAAATATTCTGGCTAATATAAAACGTTACAATTATTGTATTTTTAACCTGACAGTTGTCAAATTCTACAAAACATATGGCAACTTAGTATCAGCATTTTCAATTCTGTCAATAACTTTGCTTGTCTTATAGTTACATTTGTCCCCGATAACAGGTAACCAATGAGGTTTTAGGCCTTTCTTCTTGTTTCCGTCAAGATAAAGTGGGGCAACTTCCTTAACCATGCGATCAGCTTGCAACGGTCCGGGCAAGCTCCAGTCTAACTTTGTTCGTAAGGAAAGGTTTTCATTATTTTAACCACCAGCTTTCTTGTGGCACTTCATCAGGGAGTAGAATGACTCGACGATTGCTTCAGGTCCACCTTTTGCAAGTGCAATATCGATGACCAAACATGTTTCTTTGCCAAGTTTGGAATACATACATTCATCTGTATACAACAACAAATAAACCGCGGACTCGTTCAACTGGACTGTGTATATCTTCTCACCTTTCGTGAATCGCATATGAAATCTAGTGGTGACAAACGACTGGGACGAGTGGTCTTCCAATACTTTCTCCATGGAAGATAGGTTACCACTATCTTTAGAAATAACAGAAGAAAGAGGTTTAATTTTCCCACTGATCTCAGATGGGACGTAATCAAACCAATTGATCATGGTTTCTCTACCCTACCACACAATATCTTTGAGTGCTTGCTTCAATTTTCGGTGCACAATGTGACTTAGCCGAGGGTCAAGATCAATGGCACCATCCTCAATGGCCAATTTAACATGCGTAATGCTGCATATATGACTTATAAATGCCTTGAAGCCTTCCGTCCCAACTCGTCCCATATTCTTCAAGATCTCCCTCATTTATGCATGGCTTGCCATCTCGCCTTTTACCACATAGCAAAGTGATGATGGACTCTAAATCAAGACACGTCAACATTTCGCACATGATTGGCACGCATATGTCGTATCTTCTGCTCATTGACTCTAGTCTCTACTGTATCTTTGACAAATACTTCGAAATTGCTTTGACAATCCTCAATGTCTCTTGCTTCCCAATAGCAATTGGTTTCATCTTGAGACACCAGTTTCCATCCTTGCACCAGCTTCTGGCCCTTGAAACTTCCCTTCATTATTTCATCAACGTAATTAATAGTATTTTATTGATGACAACTGGAGATATTTACAACAATAAAACACTTTATTTTCAGGTATATAACAAAAACAGGCATACTTGGGATATTGTTTTACTTTTGAATATATTATTTTATGATCTATTAGTTCTACAACTTCGACAGACAATTCATAAATAAAACAATTATCACGGAATTGCTGAATGCCTGAAGAGTATTTATATTATATATTTATAATTTAATTTAGTAAAATCGACATGGATTTAAAAATGACAAAATTGCACAGTGCAAGTAGAAAAGGTTATAAACAAGTTAAGAAAAAAAGGAACTTTATTTAAATAAAACAATTACCTGTAAATAAATGATATATTATTCGAACATGTATTATTCATTAGTAATTTAGTATATTTTAAAACACATCTCAACATTTGCAGCTTGCGTATCCGCCATTTTTTCTAGACTGCACGCCGCCAAAAATAGTGGATGAGCTAAAATTTACGCCAAAATGCGCCGCCAAAAGTAAGTTGAAAATTTTTCCCCGCCAAAGATCTTTGGCGGGAGGGGCCTAGAATGCAGTCAGGTATGGAGAGACGTTTATTTGTAAAGGTAAAATACTGTTTAATAATATATGTTCAATATTAATAATTTGTGATAGAGTACTATAAATTAAGGTCCTAGGTCAAAACAAAGCGAAATAAACAAGCAAATTTTTACGATATAAAATGCCATTTTTGACCACACCTGCTTCAACTATAGAGGAAGACCTTTTAAGCCAGAACTTGATCATGGCTTTGAATGATTTTATAGTCCATGTAAACTGGCCACTGCCCGCTGGTGGCAGTGAAATTTAATGTGTAGAATTATTAAGTCTATCAAGACCCAAAACTGGCAGTTCAATTCTACCAACTTCTGTTGAAGCTAGTTACCAGGTTTTATAGCTAGAGGCCTGTAGCATTTTCTCTAGAAATTGCATATAGTAAAATCAATTGAAATCATAAAGAAAATGAAACATTCTTGATGACATCAGTAGCGACGTTATATCAGGGGGCCCCCGTTCAAACTTTTCGAAGGCCGCCTCCTAGTAGAAGTGCCAAAGACACAAGTCGAGCGCCGTATATGCACAAGTTTTCTAGTGAGTCAAGGACATGCTCACCTGGAAAATTTTTGAATCTAGACTCTCTGAAATGCCATTTCCCAGACTTTGGGGAGAGATTTTACAGAATTCTGACGGTCAGAGAACGGCATTGTTGCTCTATAGGCTATAGCCTGAGGGACCCCATTGGGGTTGGGGCCCCCCAGTCCGAGCCCATAGTAGTTACGCCACTGGATGACATTTGATGTTGGTAATGGCATGCATTTTTGATGGAAAATATTTTACACAGTCAGTGCATGTTGTTCGCCTGACACCGAACCTCAATATTTACATGCTATTTGTCTGAACTATTTTCCTCATTCTTTCAACATGCAAAATGATACAAAATAAATTTCAGTTGAATTCAAACAAGTCCTTGGGAGTCAAGTTGTCAAGACTATCACCTTGGTACTAGCATACTGTATGATGTTTGTGATGTTACTCTGAATGTCCAAGGTTTGATTCCCACCATGGCCAGGCATATTTTTAAATCTTGCCCAGTGTGTGTATATATATATATATATATATATATATATATATATATATATATATATATATATATATATATATATACACATATATAA